AAAGAGAAAAATGCCCAGCAACTTGGATTCATGATATCCTTGCACAGGAATCGAACTCGGTGCAAAAATCCGTCTTCGTTTTCGTATATCCCTTTGTTTTAACTTTAAATTGTTACCCATGATTAGAAAAGGATGCATGTTTAGGTTCTAACAATCTTGATTTCTTTTCACTAATCGGAGTGACTACAAAAAATCTCTAGACTCCATCCAGCAAGTTTTGTCCCAAGTTTTCAACCGGCAGTGAGGGATTGCTAACAGGATCACGTTCTACGTTGATGCTATGGCACGGAAAGGAAAAACTTCAGAGATGATTTTATCCTTGTCTTCATCAACAGAAGGCAAAGCCTAGCTGAATGGTGAATGGTTGTTGCTTCAGAACCAAGATTTATGATATCAAAAACAAACCCTAATGGAAGTACTATTGCAAACCGCTACATTAAAACCAGCCAAAAGAATTTTGTGCCAGTCCTCACGAACACAGAGGGTGGTTCCCCGGAATAAGTCTTTAGTTTCTAATGAGCATTCGGCTTGATAAAAATTAAAACCAAGAAAATCATCCCTGTCCTTTTGGTATTTGATTCATAATTATGAGACCTCATCGGCAGGTTAATCCGGTAACTTGTCCACTTAATTGTAACCTGACCTAGAACGTACTTTATATTTCGAACCGAATAACTTGAATTTTAGGTTATAACCCACGAGTTTGATCGTATCACTATGATTTGATTGTGGTTTTACCTGTACTCGCCCATCTCCATCCCACCTTGTAAGAACAAGCCGATTAAAAAAAAAAAAGACAAGGGATCCGATACAGAAGGCTACATCTGACTTTCCTTCTCCATGAGATATTGGATTCAAGCCCTCTTTCTAACAAAAACTGAGCTGCGCTTCGCTTTGGAAAATAGGTGAACTTAACAAAGATGAAGCCCAAGGCCTGGTCCAGCAAAAGTTAAAGAAAGGTGGCAAGAGCTGCTCAAGGAAAACGAGTAGATTAACTTTTTTTTAATATAAAATAAAATATTTAGATGTTTCTAATATTTTTTTAGTAGAATAAAAATCATGTGAGGTTAATTTTACATAACAGGTTAATTTGATGAATCCTAAAATAACTTAAATAAATAGTAAAAATCTAGTTTGAATAAAAAGAATTCATAATGACATCTGTTTTTTAAAATATTAAGATAAAAATATATTATAACAACTCGAGTCAACTAGGGTTCACCTGAAAAATTCACAACCAAAGTTATGAGATCATGATAACCCCGTATAAAGTAACCAAAATAAATTATAAAATCTCATTCATAGTCAACTCAAAGTTAAATGATAAAATTAAAAAATATATAAAAAATAACTTGAGTTCACTCAGTTAACCTATTAAACACGTAATACAAGTTAAGAGACTGAGATAATTTTATAAAAAATAAATTGAAACAAATTATGAAGCTTATTTATCAATCATTCAATTGTTAAATGTTGAAATAAAAAAAAATCTAAAAAAGACACAATAAAACAACCCAAATCTATCCAAGTTAATCCATAAAACACATGACTAAGATCAAGATATTGAAATTACTTTATAAAAAGTAAACTAAATTTTATGAAACCTAATTTATAATAAATACAATATTAAAGGAGGAAATTAAAAAAACTTGAGTCAATCGGTTAATCCGTCAAATTTGCAATACAACAAATCATAAAACTCAATCTTTAATAAACCAAATTTTAAAGGGAAAAAACCATAGATTTAGATAAAAAAAAAAAGAGTAAAAAAGTAGTATTAGAATAAATAGTATTTTGTGAGATGATAAACAATAAATGTAAAAAAAAACAGTATTTTGTGAGATGATAAACAATAAATGTCAAAAAAGCCATGTATTTGATAAAAATTAAGCAAAGGTAATGTGAGTTTGTGCAAATTTCAAACTCAAAAGGCTTTCACTTGAGGGGGTGTGTTAGAGAATAATATAAATCATCTCCTGTAACCTTACCTAATAGTTTAAGCTATTGAGTTGAAATCCAATTGTGAGATTCGTACTCGTGATTGTTTGGTCATTAAGACTCTGATATTATGTTAAAGAACCATATCAACCTAATAGCTTAAGCTATTAGGTGAGGTCTCAAGATATAATTTATATTATTATCTAACAAACATCACCTTTTAAGAGTAAAATGCCTTAAGTTGATGAGGCCAACTACTTATGATCAATAAGTTAATATTTAGTTATTGTCGTTGGATAGAAAGGACAGAGATATTGAAAAAAATATATATGTTTGATTGACAAAGATATTGAAAAAAAACTACTTATGATCAATAAGTTAATATTTGGTTATTGCCATTGGATAGAGAGGACAGAGATATTGAAAAAAATATATATGTTTGATTGACAAAGATATTGAAAAAAAATATATGTTTGATTGAAAAGACAGAGACAAATACATAAAAATAAATGTTTCAAAGATAATTTTAGAGTGAATTTTTATATTTTCAAAATAAGAGATATAAAGGAGATATGTTTCTATAGACAATATTTATTATTCATAAAATATCCTTGTAAATTCTAAAATTATCCAACTAAGATATGTAAGAATAAAAAATATTATTATCATAATTTTAAAACGCAAATCAAGAGTCGATCTAGGTTAGGGCCTTACAGGTTAGGTTGACCTAAGTCATATTAAGAACAAAAAAATGGTTATTATCATAATTTTAAAGCTTAATTCTAGGGTTGATCTAGGGTTAGATTCAGATCACTAGTGTAGTTGACCATTGACCTGGGTCAACAAAAAATAATTATTATTATAGTTTTAAAATTCAACTCAATAGTTAACTTGGGATAAGGCCTGAGTCACGTATTAGGAGGATCAACCTGAATTGACTCGTGTCAATATAAAATAAAAAAGGTTACAATAATAGTTTTAAAATTTGATTCAGTGTCTAACCCAGCATAAGGCTTCGGTCACATATCAAGAAGGTCAACACAAGTTGACCTGAGTTAATGTAAAGATAAAAGTTATTATTATCATAGTTTTAAAATCCTACTAAGGAGTCAACTGAGGTAAGACTTGAGTCACAGTTTAAAAGGGTCGATCCAAATCAAAGTTTGTATCACTGGTCAAGTTGATTTAAGTTGGTGTAAGAACAAAAAATAGTTATTACTTATTATCATAGTTTTAAAATCTCAGGTCACTAGTGGAATTGACCATTGATCTGGGTCAACATAAAAAAAATAATTATTATTATAATTTTAAAATCAGATTTGATGATCGATTTGGGATAAGGCTCAAGTCACATATTAGAAGGATCAACCTGAGTTGATCTTAGCCAACATAAAATTAAAAAAAAAATAAATTTATAATTATAGTCTTAAAATTTAATTTGAGAGTCAACTCAGGGCAAGACCTTGATCACATATTAAAAGGGTCTACTTAGATTTACTTGAGTCAATATAAAAATAAAAATTAATATTATTATAGTTTTAAAACTTAACTCAGAAGTCAACCGAAGCAAAGTCCAGATCATAGTTCATGAGGGTCAACATACAGATAAAAATAATTATTATTATAGGTTTCAAACCCAACCAAGACAAGTTGACTCGAGATTAGGTTCAGGTTATAAATTGAAAGGGTCGGTAGCCCAAATTGTTTTTTGAAAAAAATCAAAGATCTTTAATCCTTGTTTTATCACTAGTTGACATGGAGTTTTTAACTGGATTAAATCAAGTTAGTTTTTTCATCTTTTTTTTTTTGTTAAACTCAGACTAGTTCAAGTCTCGAACCAATCTGTCAAGTCAATTTAAGTTTTATAACTAAAATTATTATAATATTATTAATTTTAACACTCAATAGTAACTAAATAAACTAAAGTAAAAAACAATATAAAATTATTTTAAAAAATATATAAATTTAATAATAATACATAGTAAATATAAAATAAACTTTTTATATTTTATTGCCTTGTTAACCATAATCAAATAAGATCTCAAGATACTCATTTTATTTTGTACATCATTATTAAATTACTTTATTTTTTATATCATTATTAAATATATTCCCGTTCTGGTCTCAGGTCTCTTTTTTTATCTTTCGTCTTGTCTATCTTTGCCGGTTGTATATCATAAAAGTAACCAAAAACTATGGAAGAGTAAAGTACTAAGTACTGACACTATGAATCCCACTCTGGGAATTAAGCTCCTAACTTTAGACTACTTGAAGAGTCCTGCATGGTCTCATCTGTCCTTGTGCTTAATCTCACAAGAATGCCTCTTAACAACATGGTGGCTTGCGTTAAAAGTCGTTAAAGCAAAGGTTCAGCTGGCTTTGGAAGTAGTTTTGGCAGCCAATCAGTGGATTCCGATTGCAATACTCAGTTTTGCATGATTGCTATTCCCATTGCTTTTATTTCTGCCATTAAACTCGAATGGCAGGATTGCGAGATTCAGCATGCTCTCTACTCCGTTAACTCTCTCCCTCATCTTGCATCTTGCGTACCAATAGCCACCAACCCTCACTCGACCAAAAGTGATGGGCCCGAAGTTTAGCAAAGTGAGTCAACAAGACTACAAGTGCCCCAAATCATACCATCACATACAGATAAAAATAATTATTATTATAGATTTCAAACCCAACCAAAACAAGTCAACTCGAGATTAGATTCAGGTTATAAATTGAAAAGGTCGGTAGCCTAAATTTTTTTTAAAAAAAAATCAAAGATCTTTAATTCTTATTTTATCATTAGTTAACATGGAGTTTTTGACTGAATTAGATCAAGTTAATGGAGTTTTTGACTGGATTAGATCAAGTTAGTTTTTTTATCTATTTTTTTTTGTTAAACTCGGACTAGTTCAAGCCTCGACCAAAAGTGATGGCCCGAAGTTTAGCAAAGTTGGAGTCAACAAGACTACAAGTGCCTCGTACCATCAACATCTTTTGCCAGCCAATCGAGTAGATAGGCTACGAGGACATGAATTTGCTGACAAGGCCAACGTAAAACTAGAGAAGGATGAACAAACATGATTATAGTAATAAACAAAATTATGGTCATTTCAACTGTAACTCGAGAAGAATAAAAAATAAATTACACGTGTAAGCCTACCACCATGTTGGGAACATGGCTCATGATACACATCTAACCTTCTGTGGTGCGAAAGGTTCTAAACATTCTTCACAAAAACTACAAGGAAAGAAAACAACATTGCAGGAGCTTCCTGGATGAAATATCGTAGCCACAAATGCCCATGCAAAGATCACAAGTCCCAGCTGCAGATGAATGAAAGAAACGGAACTTTTGAATTAAATCACCATCCCATAACAGCACAAGGCAAATGAAATTCCAGACAAAGTATGATTTCTGGTCTTTGTAATGGTACACATGATTTATGACTAGTAATCTACATTCCTCACCCGCCCTTTAGGCAAAGAAAACGAGGGAAGGGAAATTTACAACTCTTTATGAATCATCATTGCAGTTGCCGAATCAATGTTTTGTTATTTCTATAAAATTGGAGAAGTGGCAAACAATGGTGCCACAGGACTATGGAGGGCAGCATCCTATAAAATTGTAGAAGTCTGTGGACTAGCCTGGTACACCCAAACTGACTGTCTATAGTTCAATACCATACCAACAATCCCAGAAAACACTTTTGGAACAGTCCATCAGGTTAATGACTCAAGGTGCTCTGAATCAAAGTTAAATTACAGAAAAAAGATGTACGGGAACCATCCAATATTCTTCATGATACTTATGACACATACCTCAAATATTTTGCAGCATAAGATACCCAGCAATGCACCAAGGAGACTACTTGTCAGGATGCCCCCGTTTAGCCTTGCGACGAGAGTGACTGGTTTGAGCATTTCTAACTGGTTTCTTTGACTTTTTGCTGCAAATGTCAGGTACACAAAACATATAAGATGCAGGTTCAACTTATCAAAAATCCCACTTATAACAAAATAATAATGATAAACTGGAAATGAAGAAGACTTGGCAGAAAATTCACCATTGAAGTTAATAATGGCTCCTTAAGAAACTAACCAGAAGATGGAAGAACAAGCTCTGGCCAAAATGAAGATAGGTAGGGTAAACAACGCAGAGGCCTGCAGCATCAGAGACAAATACCTTAATTAACATTAAATAAACTTCATACATAAAGTTATTTTGCTGACACATATTTGATAAAAAGGTCTGAATACATGACCAGGATACATACAATGAACCAGACAACAAATACCTTAATTAACATTAAATAAACTGCATACATAAAGTTATTTTGTTGACACGTATTCGATAAAAAGGTCTGAATACATGACCATGATACATACAATGAACCAGACGGAGTCTTTTGTTGCGAGTGGTTTTGTGAGCTCATGCTTTTCCAGTGTCTCTTGTACAGTGCCTTGCACCTTAACAAAAATTAAAAAAATGGTTCAACTGTAATGACAATAAATCTTTAATAGAAAAACTATGAAATAATAGTATTTATCCCAGCAAAGACAATAAAGTATTTGTCCCAGCAAAGACAATAAATCATGATCCACATTCATTCCAAAAAAAAAGAGCAGAAGAAACCTCTTGGCATGATTCATTTTACTAGCATACTCATAAAGACATTAGAGAACCATGATTCATTTTACTAACATGCTCACAATCAACCATAACACTACAACAAAGATAATAAACCAGCATTGATACCTGATTGTGGTATGTAGTTGCAGACTCTAAAAATTTCCCGTATGCATCAACTGCCTCTTTTGTATAGGGCTTCAAAACCACCCTAACTTTATCAACATGGGGCTTTGTCACTGTAGCAACCTGATTAATATATGGCTCGCTGAACTTTTTAGCTTCCTGTGATCAAATTTAAACATTTCAGATGCAAGTTAAGAGAGCAGACATACAATAAGGAACAATACAACAGCATACACACCTGAAAGTAAGGATCAACTATTTCTTGTACCCTGATGATGTGTGAAGTGATTGTAGTCTTTGAGGCCTCATAGATTTCGACAGTTTTAGCAGTTAATGATTGCACATGAGGTTCAACTTGTGTTGCTATCACAACCCATTGCTCTTTTATAGCTGGGACCCATTTCTTCATGCAAGAGGGCAAACAATCATTAAATACATGAATCCAATTTTCTTCATTTACTTGACCAATCAAAGTTAACACCAACGATTAGCGCTATAGCAAAACATGCATGTAACAAAAGTAAACAGCACAGAACCACAGATTCACTGAAACTTTTTTCAAGCCAGATCTCAATTAGTCTATGGAGCAACATAGAATGCTGCTTCAAAGTAAATCAGCCTTAAAACATGTGACCTGATCAAAAAATCAGGTTCACACTCCCAACAATTAATAAATGAGCAGAAAATTGGAGAACATAGAAAAAGAGCTTACAGTTTTAATTGTTTCCACATGGGGCTTAGCCCACTTTTCAGCTTGGGCTTTTTTCTCCAGGGCCTGAAAAAAGTCCATATATTTAGTGATATAATGGAGGCAATTTTTTCATGAAATCCTTGTATTTGACCACTGGACCATATCTAGTTAATAAACAGACATCACCAAAAAAGGTAAGCCACCATCCCTCAACAAGAAGATTATACCATTTGAATGGCCAGTTCCATGGCAGGTTTTCCATGCTCATTCCAATGTGCCTGCGCTAGAGACTGAAAAGAGATAATATCACCACATAGGACAAGAATTTTTATTTTATTTTTTTACTATTATTGAACAATATAATATCACCACATAGGACAAGAATTTTTTTTTTTTTTACTATTATTGAACAAAATACCATACAGGCATCATTTTACCTGCCAATGAACTAATTGTACAGCAAGCCAAGGTGGAAGCCAAGCACCGTGAACCTGGTCATAAAACACCACTATGAATTAGTCTACTCTTGACACCAGTTTCTGGTCTCATAATAAATGATCAGTTGATGAGTCTCTAGCAAACATTAATGATTTAAAAACTAACAATCCATGAACTGAAAACTTATATCCTATGAAATGTAGGAAACAAGGTTCAAGAAGCCAAAGCATGTGAAATATCTTATGCTGCATGCATACTGCATCCTTGAAGTAGAATTGGATGTTCAAATCATCCAAAGAATCAAAATGAAGGGATAAAAGACTGATTTTTTACACAAAATGTTCTTGTTGTAAGGATTCTATCTTTTTCTTACAGCAGCTCTGTATTCACAAAGGAATGGACACAATTCAAAAGTTTTAGGCGCCTCCTGGACATCTGCAATGAAGTCCAGAATGGGTTCGGCAATTTAAAAAAGCTTCTAAAGGATAATAATACTCGAACCAATTCTCAGGGCTTTCTTGCATTCCAGCCTGGATGAGAATTTCTTTCTGCTGAAGGAATATACAGTCTTCCCTACTGAAATATTATATAAACCTTCTCCAAATTCCAGTACTTCCTGAGAATTTCCATCAGATTTCATCCCTGAAACCAAAAGCAAATGAGAATACAGTTCATTCTAGACCTGCAAGCAACAGGCCTTCCTAAGTAGCTCATGGTGTGTTGTCAGCACGAACTCCACTGGCTATGTTAATTCTTTCCCTTCTAACAAAAACGAACCCTTAAAGCAACTCCAAATTGTTTGTATACTGCTATTCGCATCTTTGATTTACATGCTAAGAGTACTAAAACCAAAACTGATAGCCAATTTAGCATAACATTGGCTATCATTATAGTCAAGGTACTCCCATGTTCCTACTTCCATGTTACCTCATGATCCGAGGTGAAATTCAGTATTTTTTTCTCACTTGCCAAAAGTCCAGTTGCTAATTTGAGCAGGGTGTTATCGACATAAGATAGGTGCAACATTAACAGAACTTTCATAAATGTAAAGTACATTCTCCAGAGTTCCAAAGCATAAGGAGAACATCAAGCCCCAAATTCAGTCAACAATATTTGGATTTTCCATCAATGACTATATCTCTACTTTCACAGCAGAGAGGAATGAATCCAAGAACTTTAGCATTTCAAATATAAAATCACATCTGAAAGGTAAGTTAGAACATAGAAGATGGATGACACAACCAACAAATCCATTAATTCATTACCTCCATCAGCTCTTTGGCCTTTGCGGTGGCCTCGGATTTTGTTTTTAACAGTTCTTCCTGAAATATACAGGATAAAAAATCACATATAATAATCACCATCATCTGGTTTTAAGCATGATATGAGTTTGTAAGGTACATGATGGTCTCATACCTCAGCAATTTTGAGAGCACGTTCTGTTTTACGGATTTTGCTCTTCTGTTCCTCATTAATCTTTGCAAGCTGTAAAGCAAAAGACATTATATGCCCAATTACATATCATCCCAAACAAAAAAATTGAAGAAAATCTCAAATTAAAAATTTGAAAAAATATCCGCACCAAAATGAAAAAAGATGCAGGCAGTCATTAAAGGCATGACAGCAAAAGAAAAGCAAAAAGAAGTGCAATAGCACAATTAAGAAAAAGGACTTAAGCAGCTGAAGTCATGCACACATACACAGGCATGCACATGCATAACTTTTGTGGATCCATTAGCACATGATATCAAACAGTTATTAATACAGGCAGGACATTAAGGTAAAAGGTCCATTCAAACTCTTCGAAATTGTGAATAAGATGCCCTGTATTGGAACAGGGACGTACTAAAAATCCTTAGTCATTCCAAAACTTTATGCATTTTCTAAAATCCTGACAAACAAAGAACTTACATCTGCTAGTTTCAAGTTCAATTCACTAATCTTCTTCTCAGCTTCACTTGCTCTGGCTTCCAGAGCCTCCTTTTTCTTTTGTTGAGTCTCTAATTCCTTGGCAAGTTTATCAACCTGCATAAATAAGTAACATTAAAAGACGCACAACACTTCTTCCAAAGTCACTAGTTTTGTATGTCCAGATGAATAATAACCTGTTTCTCTAGTTCACCTGCACGTGCATGCGCCTTTCTAACTTGCTCTTGAGCATCTGTCTTCCCATTATTCTGTTTGACAACAAAATAAAAGCCTCACATAACATGCACGCAGAAACCCATTTCAATAAGATGGATCCACAACATTTCATACCTGGAGAGATGATAGTTCACTTTGCAATGACCCGATGCTATCTACTTTCTCTTGAATGATCTTCTCCTTCAGCGCTATCATATCATCCTTACCCTTCAATTCTTTCGTTTTCTCATCAATATGAGATTCTTCATCACCCAACAACCACACAATTCGTTAAAGGCTTCTTAAAAAAAAAAAACAATATAAAAAAATGCACAACTGAAAAACAAGTTTATTCCTTTATAAAACAAGAAAACTAAGCATCGTAAATTAAACAAAAATTATTATTTTCACCACAATTAATTATCTCTGATTTTCCTAATCCCATTAACACTGCATTAGTCAATCTAATCACAGATATACCTACTTTAACCGCTCAAAAATTAATATAAGAAATTATAAAAATTATGGCTT